CGCGGGGACAATGTGGGCCGCCGGGCCTCGCCGTCGGGCGGCCTCCGGGCAAGTTGCGGGCGGCAGCGGGGCGCGCCGCGCCCTCCCTCGCGCCCTCGCCCGCGGCCCACGCTCGAGCCGGCCGCCCCGGGTTTACTGGGACTAGTGGCGCCAGTGCCTCGGTCCTGTCCGCGGGCAGAGTTGCGCCGGGACCCTCAGCCTCCGGGCCCGAGAACGCCCGCGGCCCGTGGGCCCGACGGCCGAGCTTTTGTCTGCGCGCAGCGCGCTCGCCGCCGTGGGCAGCGGAGACAGGAAGGGGTACGAGCCGCGGCCGGCACGGGCCATCCGGAACCCGGCGAGCGCGCCCGGGCGGCGGCGGCGGCGGAGGAGGAAGCCCTGGCCCCAGATGGCAGGAGACGGCCTCGGTGGGAGTTAAAAGGCAAGGGACCTTTCCCGGGACCTCTCCCGGGTCCCGGGGGCAGAGATCTGTGTGTAAAACAAAGCCCTGGGTGTGTTTATGGCGTGAATTTACTCCGGGAAGGTTCGCGCTTAGGACGGGGGTTGGGGGTGGGGGTAGCCGAGGAGGGAGAAAGTTGAGGTTTTATCGCGTGTAATCTGCAAAATAGTATCTGCGGCAAGACACAGGCCAGGTAGACCTGTCCCGGGGCTTAACGGGTGTGTTGAGATATGTGGTATGGGCATTGGTCGGACTGGGTAAAGAAGTTGCTTGTTTTAATCCTGGTGCGTTTCCTTAGTGGAAGGAAGATGTTTTGGAATGTTCAAGCTGAAATGTGGCAACTTGGGTTTTTTGTTGTTGTTTTTCCTTCTCTTCTTTTCTAGCATTAGTCGACATTGAGGAAGTACTACTGAGGTTGCGCTGCAATCGTTAGTGTTTTTAGTTAACAGAGATAGTTCATTTTTTGTAAGGGTTCTTGGTTCTGCCTTATAGTTTTTAGGCATTTGTACCTTCTGAGTGTTTCTGAATCTCGGGGTCTTTTGGTTGGATGAACCGAGGGACAGGTCAAGTGGTTTTGTCTTGGAACTTTTGTCTCCTCGGTAGCTCTGTTTGTGAGTGGCTCTCAGATTCTAGTTACATAGTTCCCACACAGCTCTTGGTTTTAGCATTTGTAGTTCGATTTGGGTCTGCCTGACCCTGCCAACAGTTTACTATTTCCTCAGCAAATGATCTTTCATAGATGTTAGTGTTTGGTGTGGATTGGGCTTTGCTGTGGTGGTGTCCAAAAAAACCTGTTTTTGTTTTTGTGTTTTTTAATTGGGTCACATCTGTGGCCTGTGGTAGGTACAGTGTTTGACATGGGACAAGACTTATATGTCTCTGAGCCTAGGAACATGTTTTCAGGTCCTGCCTCTGCGGGGCAAGACTGCCATTATTAGGAGGGGACCAGCACTCCTGTTCAGTTATTCTTCCTCTCCCCCCTCCCCTCCTCCTGTGGGTCAGCTTGTGGCACTTCCGGAGTTTTTAGCAACCCAAGTTCTCTCCAGGTTTCAGTGTTCACTTTATGTTTTTTCTGACTGAGGTTCATTGAGGAAAGTGGTGTCTAAGTCAGAGCTTTGGGCTACAGTTTTTCTTTTTTGTCCAACAGAGATGGTGTCAGCTCAGGTACCATTGCTCCGGGGGACCCTCCAGGCTGTGGCTCCTTCCCTCCCCTACCCCAGTTTCTTCAGGAGTTTTCTCAGCCCAGGGAGTCTCTGCCTGGGAAGAGTGGCTTCCCCTGCTGACATTGATGGACTCTGACTTCCACGCTAGACTAGCTCTTGTTTGTGTCTCCCTCCAGCCCACCCTGCTCACTCCATGGGTTTGGCACCAGAGGAGAAGTGCCCCGTGTGGTGGAGTGAGTCTGGAGTGTGGATGCACCTGCTGGAAGAGAGGGCCGGTGAAG